GTGGCAGGGATGTCGTCGCCGCAGGAGGAGCATCATCGCGGCGGTAGATCGTGCAATTAGGAGCATATTAGACTCGTTGCCCGCCCGTGCCACATACCCGCGAACACACTCGACGAACAAATTTTCCAGTTGCTCACTTTCGAGCAGAGCCGCAGCCATATCCGCGCTACCGCGGGACGCCGCCATGTTTGTTTGGGTTGCTCAACGAGGTCCATTGCTATTGGTTGAGCGAATGCGCCGATAGCAAGCTTTTATTGGCTGTTGACTGCGGTCGGCCGCGTTGCAACGCAACCAGACTTGGAAGTAATCCGTTACAAGTAACGGGATTACTTGTAATTAATTACTTTTTGAGTAATTTTGTAATTAATCCGTTACTTTTCTAGAAATGTAATTTCTAACGTAATTTCATTACTTTTTTAGTAACGGATTACCACAAGTTACTCGTTACATTTTTTTGTTATTTCAATTTTTTTTTTTTTTCAATATTTCAAGCATAATTATAAAAATATGTTTTTTAAGTAGCGTCACCGAGTTCGGGAAGGGGGAGAGGGGGGGGGGGGGGGGGCACCTAGACTGAAGCCAAAAGCTTGTGACGGGATCTCGGCAAAGGAAAAAAAAGGGGGAAACAGAAGGGGGAATCGACTCTGCTATCCCCTTAGCACGATAACAAGGGGAGGGCCCCGACAAAAGTACTCAAAGAAAGAAAACGGGAATTTTCACACAGCTAGACAGGCATCTTAAGACAACCGAAGCGTCGCTTACACGATGCAAAAACGCCGCGTTTCGGACGCTTTTTCTCAGAAAGAGAAGCCTTTTCTGAACCTTAGGCACTTGATTCGGAGTGGGGCGAAAGAAGAATAGAAGAGTAATGGCCCATAAAAATGTCACATGGCACGCATCTCCCAAACTGGAACTGTGGGATGGGTCTGCTGCGTCTGCTTTTTCTTTCTTCTTTTTTTTCTTTTTGCTAAGATCATTATCGACATGTTTGTACGATGCAGTCCCAGCCCGCGTTCAGATTTTGGAAGCGGAAGGACGTGAATAAAGACATAAGCAACACGCTTAGAACAAGCTCGAAGTTCAACTAATAGCTTTCCTTCGGGTCTTTTTCTTCAAATAAAATAGTAGCCACTACAACTTCGTGTCCACCGAGGACGGTGGGGTGTCAGCCTCCCCTCCCTTTTTTTTGCTTGTTTGCGTTTTGTGCGGGGGAGGAATCGGAGTCGCTGTGAGTTCCGAATACGGGGCTTTACGGGACAAAAGGCCAGATGCCGTCCAGTTCTAGGAACAATTTTAAAACTCCAGTGCCTTCTGATATTTTTACGTGACATTTTTCTTACATTTTCTTGTTACACGGCAAAGAAAGTATGTCGTTTCCTTCCCGTGGTGGAGGCTCGAGGTTTCCAGCTTTCTGGTCAAGTAGAGACAAACACCAGAGCCCTAGCTCAGCCTACAAGCGAACCTAGTGTCGTCTTGGAGAACGACACTCACAATAGTCACCACATCCCCTGATGAGTTTTCCGCGAATTTGTCCTGTTTCTCTTGCTTCTATATATATATTTTTTTGTTGCAAGAACCTCGCGTTTTCGTCGTCTTAGTAGGGTGTGTAGCCCTTGTCAAATCCTGTCTTTCTCTTAACTCTATTTTTCTCCTCGTACTTATGTAGGAATGTTTCATCTATATGAAATTTTTTTTTTCGGTTGTTCAATATTTTTTACCGAGGTCCCGCCTCTAGCTCGCTGATCCACGGCTACAAAATGCGCGAGAGGTCCCAGCAGCGAGCATTCAGCATGTCTCTTCCACTGTCGCCATGGCCCTCCTTGGATCCGATGTTTAAGCTGAAAGGCAGCAAGGGAACTGCGAATTTAGAGTTTCAGTGCCTGCTCTGCCTCCCCGAAAGAAAGCTTCTTTCATCTGCGAAGTCCACGAATTCGAACCTACGAAAACACGTAAAGGTAAGCGTTTTTTAATTATTATTTTTTTATTTTTTGTGGAAACCAGTGATTTAAAAATGTAAGATTTTTGCGTAGTTCATAATTTGGCGATTGCATCACAATTTTATACTCTCAACATTGCCTTTGGTTATTTTTTTTTTCAGCCCTAGTGTATCTGCTGACGTACGGCGTAAAGTACGCTTAGAACAGTTGATAAAGATGTTGATATTTACTTGAGCTCAGGGGAGCCGCGGCGAGTTGCTGAGGGAGTTTACCCAAATTGCATTTTCGGATATCGGCAGCTCATAATGCTGCTTCCAAGCATACCAGTGTGACAGGAGCGATATGGGTGTGCGATTCGGTAAAATATTTGATTTTCTAAAACGTACCATAATCCGTTTCCACTTTAAGCGTGAGCATAGCAGAAGCTACAAAAGCGAGCCCCGGGCTTTCAGTGTCACTGCCAAGCACGCGCGCTCGTGCAGTGCAATCACGTTGTTCAAAGCTTCGTGCTCGCGCTTGTAGCTTCGGCTGCTCCTGGACTTAAGCTGAAACGAAGTATAGGGCTTATAATTATAAACAGTCGTGGGCTTAGCAATATACTGTTTGTAAATTAATTTATCGAAAAACTATAAAAAAAAAGATTTTGGTGTCGAATATCACTAATTGAATACTTCTTTGTGGGTAAAAACAACCTAGCGCACGGGGAGCTACGAACACAATAAGTAAGAACAGTATATTTCATTCTATGCTTCTTGAAGCTTTTCCTTTATAAAGTGAGGATTCGCAGTGTCTACGCACTTAAATCAAAACCAACTCTCGAATTCCAAACAACAATGAGTCGCACAGCCAGCGCTGGCTATCGGTCAATTTATCACTGAATATTTGGGTTTGCGTTCGGAGTCAAATACCGCCGTGAAGGAGATCAATTAAGAAATGTTCAAGGACAGATCGAACTATCACGCCACTACAGTGTTTAACTTCAGCTGTGGGGAAAACAAACATAATTAGTTGAGAGATTCTGACTCGTTATTCCAGTGAGGCTTCTCTTCAATTAGTAAAGCACCGATTTAATTCTAGTTCCAACCTAACGTTAACACGGTATTTGCGTCTAATCTGTGACCCGGGCTCTATCGAGATAAATGACGCAACAAATACAACCCATGTGACTTTGTGCTAAACAATCCCAGAGGTTTGTAAAAAAAAACGAGCTAGACAAAGCGTTCTGTATAGTCGATATCCCCGCTAATAAGCATTGTCAACCAAGGCGCGTGATTCTGAAAAACCCTGGCAGTACGAGTCTGTGAAATAATGCCGGGTAGCTTGTTCTAGCTAGGGTCAAAAGAGCAGACTCCCCAGCGCTTTTGACGAACCAGCTGTCACGAGTGACCATTCATTTTGCTGCCGAGTCTAGAGGAAAAGCTGAATTTGGTTTTCATTGTTTGTTTCTTAAGATTAATGCACTCAAACAAAAAGGTGTGGGTTCTGTTGACATTTGAGGAATATTGATGTGACGCTTTAGTAAAACGGGAAAAACAACTTCATTGTCCCTTTATATGTTATCATATCTTCCATTGTCTCAGCATACCTTTCTTCTACGTTCGCGTGTCTTAATCTATAACTAAAGCTGAAGAACATATAGTAGTTGAAGTGAGCTGTGCTCAACCGTTCTTTTGGCAATGTGTTGACTTAACGAAAATTAGAATTCAATGCGATAAAGTATATTTGCTTGAAACTGTAGGGGGCTTATTATAATAAGTATGCACGTAACTGAATTCAAAGTTCATTTTATTTAATTTAATTTGCTCTTAAAAATTGTTCAGCTGAATTCGTCCTCAAAATTACGTAACGTTGCTCAAAGACACCATATCTCCGTTTTCACCTCAAGAACCGTATTAAAAACAAAGTCCGGCTCCTCAGGGAGCATTACTAATTTCCACCTTTAGGCGGGGAATTGAGATATACCTTTGTAAGGCAATTTTATATTACATATGTGTTATGTTCTCGAGACGTACTCGTTTCCAACGCCAAAAGCATCACTTCTTCCTCCGACAATCAAATCTCGTAACAACTAATTCGCGCGGCGTATAAACAATGCGCAAAACTTGCTGTTTTCGAAGTGACATTGAGTGTAGTAAGTTCATTCAATGAAGCTACTGACACTGGGCACATATTTTAGTTATTTAGCTTCCGCCATGCAGTTATCCTCCAACTGCGCGATACAGCGCGAACAAGACATTGGTGCTTTTTCGCGTTCAAGATTATAACTGAAAAACGAGGAAAACCGGCAATCGCTTGTTTGTGGTACAGTGCCGCGCTATCAACAATGTAAGGCTGTGAACCTGTATAAAGAAAAGTTTGGAGAGGTTTGACTCGCGCTGGAGAACTCAGGGATCATAGCAGGGTTCGATCCCCCACCACTGTCCGTTTCAACAGCGATGGGCAACGTATACCGGTGTGTGGCAAAATACCAATTACACCTTCACATTTAATTGCCTTATAACCAATTCCTCATTGACAGTGGAGGCCCCAAACGCCATTCGCGGTATTTTTCTCCGCCTCTTATACTTAAACCCAAGAGAATGCAAAAAAAAAAAAAAATGTAAAAACGCGGATTACACGCACATTGTCTTCGGGACGGTGTGTGGATATACGTTTCTTATGCCCTGTCACGGGTTGATGTATACACGGCATTCACCAGCTTGCCTGAGTTTTTGCCTTTTCATATTGTTCATCTTATTTTGCTTTATACGCTCATAATTACAGTACGTGAAAATATCGGCTCTTTTACAGACGAAGCACCTGAGCAAGCTGAGCAGTTTTGAAGCACTAATCAAAAATCGACGCACCATCGCAGGAGTTGATCACGTTAGAGAGACTCCGCCGTCCAAGCAGCTGCGACTTGATTTTCGTGATGGGACCGTCTCACAAGCTTCACTGGACAAACTCGTTGTAAACTTCGTCATCGGCGGTATGCAGCGGTTTTCTATTGTCGAAAATCCCTCTTTTGTCGACCTCGTAAGAGCACTTGCCCCCCATAAGACTGTGCTGACGCGTAAAGCGCTGATGTCGCGCATACAAGAAGAGTACATGGCAATGAAGGATCGCTTAAAGCAGGAGCTATCCAATGTCGCCTACGTGTGCATCACTGCCGACTGCTGGACGACTTTCCGCAGGTAAGTCGTACTTGTTTGTTTAGCTTAAAAAGGAATTTTAAACATGTACATTTTATTTTTATTTTTTTTCATCAGGTGCTACATTGGCATAACTGTTCTGTGGCTTTTGCCACGCACACTGGAGCGAAGGTCAGCAGTTCTGGCATGCCGAAGGCTTGTGGAGCGAGCGACTTATGACATTCTGGCCGCTACAATTTCTGAAGTGCTTGAGGAATACGACCTCCAAACCAAGGTGACAAGGGTCATCACTGACAATGGATCAAATTTTCTCAAAGCATTTCGGTAAGAATCGCGTTGTTGTGTGTTACAAATTTCCTGCAAGAGAGGTGTGATATGGATTTGATACGAATACAGCTATTATGATTTTGTTGACAGCATCTTCGGGGAGAAGTCATCTGTGGGCGAGGAGGACGAGGAGATTGAAAATGAAGGCGTTGACCTAAGCAAGCTCATAGACAGCACTGAGGAGGGAATCTGTCTACCTCAGCATCACCGCTGCGCTGCTCACTGTCTGAACCTTGTGTCTACCGTAGATGCTTCACGCGCAAGTGAAGACGACGCGTTCTCAAAGGCGTTTACAACCGTGATGAGAAAGTGCAGGTGTCTTTGGGCCAAGCAGGGACAGTCCTCAGTCGCTGCGGAAACGGTGCACAAGGTCTGCGGCGTGTACCTGCCAACTCCAGTAACAACTCGCTGGAACTCGCTGTATGATTCATTAGAATTTCTTCTCACTCTGAGGAGGAACGGAAAAGATCTACCAGCACTCTGCCGCACACTCCATCTTCCACCTCTGAATGACCCGGTGGACTTCAATTTCATCGAGGAATACTGCGAGGTACGTTCCTAAAAATGTCTCTCAACGTGATGGTAACAGAGAAGTAAGCATTAGTTCCGATGCCCTTGCCTTGTCTTATTTTACATCGTTGTTAACGACTGCATCTGTACATATCCAATCACCTGCATGGCTATTCTTACATTAATTTATTATAGTCCGTTGCAACCCAAGAATGTAGAGCAAGGGTAAGACGGGCGGGGGAGGAGGAAGCTGACGGCACGCTGGAGAAGAGAGGGGGAACCTCCTCTCTTTAGCGTTCCGTCTGCTTCCTCCTCCCCGGCCCCTCTTACCCTCGCCCTTCGTTCTTAGGTTGCAACGGACTATAGCCATTCTGACGTCAATCATACAAAATTAAATCGGATGTTTAAAATGCATATGCAACTGGAAGGCATCTACTCCACGTATAAAATATTTTAAGGTTATGAAACCTGTCGCCTGTGCCCTGGACGTGCTGCAACGTGACGACCAGATGTTCATGGGGTATCTTCTACCGACGCTGTCTGTCCTCCAACGGCGGCTAGAATATGCCATCATGAAGGGCATGCGGATTTGTGCGCCGCTGTGTCAGGCAGTCCTCGAGGGCCTGGGAAAGAGGTAATAGTTAATATTTTTTTATAGAAAATAGATAGCATATTTAGCCTTTACTGCCAACGACTAATCGCGCATTCTATATCAAGGTTCGACCACCTTATGGAGAGTAGGGAGCTGCTACTTGCGTCAGCTGTACTGCCCAAATTCCAGTTAAAATGGATTTAGAATGCTGAGAAGCGCCTCCTGGTACATAAGTTGCTGGAGGATGAAGCGTCTCTGCCATGCTACTCCCACCTGCACAACGGAGATCAAGACATCCCAAGCCCAGAACCCGACGATTTTTTTAACTTTGGAGCCCTGGCGAATGCGCACCCGACGAGGAGCACAGAAGTTTCCCGCTTCCTGGACGCCCCCAGCGATATGCCACTGGAGAAGCTAGTGGACTTCCCGAAGATCCATATGATCTTTTTGAAGTACAACACATCGGTGCCGTCCAGTGCATCAGTGGAGCGGCTCTTCAGCCGCGCCGGTGACGTGTTTTCCCGAAAGAGAGGAAAGATGACCGACCTCAACTTCGAACAGCAACTGCTCTTGATGTGCGATAAAAACTAAGCACAAAACTTGAACGACTTTGTACATTATTTACGGCTAGTTATATTTGTGTACATACAGCTAATAAGTTGCTTTATTACCACATAGAGTGATAATAAGTGAAAAATCGCTTTTTTGCATGTATGGCTTAAAGTAATTGAAAAGTAATCGAGTAAAGTAACGAAGTAATTAATCGATTACATTTTAAAGCCGGTAATTTGTAACGGTAATCCGTTACTTTGATGACCAAGTAATTGTAATTGTAATTAATTACTTTTTACAAGTAACGGGCACAAGTCTGAACGCAACTGTGCGTACAAGCTTCGCGTGTACGCGCTTCGCAACGCAACGCTTCCGCTTGCCGCTACGGAACGCACCGCGCTCAAACGCGAATGTGCGTATGGGCCTTTATTATCTCGAAAGTTCGGCAAAGAAAGTTCGAGCGTCGCGCGCTCAAAGCGAGGATGAACTGACACTTTCGAGAATAACAAAGCAGAGGGAAAGTTACGTCTGGTGCGAGAATGAACGGGAATCTTCTGGAGGACCGTGACCAAGCATTGCTTTTTCGGCTCTGCGGGCGGCATTATCCCCCCTTTTAAAAGTGCATCGCCCCGATGCAAAGCGAAACGAAAACGTAAATGGCTAAAACATTTACGGTGAAACGAAATAAACATGCAGTGTCTCAATCCTAACGCGCGTAGAACGGCTTGAGTCGAACTACGTGGACGACTTCGGGTCGTGACTGGCGGCGTCCTGATGGTCGAGTTCCGTCGGGGAGCACCTCGTAGTTCAAGTCCCCAAGGCTGCGGATGACCTTGTAGGGTCCGAAGTAGCGCTTTAACAGTTTCTCGCTGAGGCCGCGGCAGCGAATGGGCGTCCACACCCATACCCTCTCTCCGGGCTGGAACTCCACGTCGCGGCGGCGGAGGTTGTAGCGGCCTGCGTCAACACGTTGCTGGTCCTTTATTCGAAGACGGGCTAGCTGTCGTACTTCTTCTGCTCGTTGGGTGACCAGCTGGGCATCGTCGGTGCCGTCGTCCGTCGGGTCGTGCGGCAGCATGGCGTCGAGCATCGTCGTCACCTTTCTGCCGTGCACCAGCTGAAAGGGTGTAACGCCGGTAGTTTCTTGAATCGCCGTGTTGTATGCAAACGTGACGTAAAAATACTCCAAAAGCCGGGAGACGTCATAATTAAAATAAGAACGCCGACTTGACATAACAGAAAAAACAACTTCATTAGACGTTTCGCCTCCCATGCGGGAGGCATCATCAGTAGTTACACAGCAAATGCAGGGTTCAACCTAAACTCAACGCTATTTATCACGAATGTCCGTGTAAGCTTCGTGGAGAGGGCCGCGGTTTTTGTTGCACACGGATGTGTCCCTGCGAAGAAACCACGATTCTAGAAGCTTTCGGGGCACCCATCTGTCCTCTCTCGCCAAGGTCGTCGCGGCCGGAAAGTCGAAAGAATGCCCCATTGTCCACGCATGGTCCACCAGTTCAGTCTTCAGTCGCGTCGCGTGGAATGCGTACGTGACGTCACGCTTGTGTTCTTTGAGTCTGGTATCTCTCCTCCGTCCGGTTTCACCAATGTAGGACGCTGGGCAGTCACTGCAGGGGATTTGTAGATAACGCCTCTTTGGACGTTCGCCGGGGTTGGGTCCTTTGGTTTGGAAACGGAATTTCCAATAGTTCTGTATGGCTTGAAAACAGTTCGGATGCCAAGGGGCCTCAAAGCGCGACTAAGAGGTTCGGAGACTCCTTTGACATAGGGGATGCACACTACATTCTTATCTCTTTCCCTTTCGCACGGTTCCACATTTTGTTTCATTTTGTTTTTGACCTCGTCAACAAAACGCCTCGGGTAGTGACGTTTCACCAAAGCTTCCTGTAAATGAGTCATCTCATTTGCGCCATGGAGCTCATTAGATGACACGGTATTTGATCTCTGTACAAACGATCGCACTACTGATTTCTTGTGTTGCTTGTGAACTGGGTGATGGGACAAAAAATCCAAAAAATTATCTGTTTCACATGGTTTGCGGTACACCCCCGTTTCAATCCTGTGGTTCGGCTCGCCTGTTCTTATTACAGATACATCTAGGAAGGGCAATTTGCCCTGCTGTTCTGCCTCGCAAGAAAACTGTTTTGCGCGGAGCTAAACAGTGTTCACCCCGCGATACAGTTTTCTTGCGAGGCAGAACAGCAGGGCAAATTGCCCTTCCTAGATGTATCTGTAATAAGAACAGGCGAGCCGAACCACAGGATTGAAACGGGGGTGTACCGCAAACCATGTGAAACAGATAATTTTTTGGATTTTTTGTCCCATCACCCAGTGCAGCACAAGAAATCAGTAGTGCGATCGTTTGTACAGAGATCAAATACCGTGTCATCTAATGAGCTCCATGGCGCAAATGAGATGACTCATTAACAGGAAGCTTCGGTGAAACGTCACTACCCGAGGCGTTTTGTTGACGAGGTCAAAAACAAAATGACACAAAATGTGGAACCGTGCGAAAGGGAAAGAGATAAGAATGTACTGTGCATCCGCTATGTCAAAGGAGTCTCCGAACCTCTTAGTCGCGCTTTGAGGCCTCTTGGCATCCGAACTGTTTTCAAGCCATACAGAGCTATTGGAAATTCCGTTTCCAAACCAAAGGACCCAACCCCGGCGAACGTCCAAAGAGGCGTTATCTACAAGATCCCCTGCAGTGACTGCCCAGCGTCCTACATTGGTGAAACCGGACGGAGGAGAGATACCAGACTCAAAGAACACTAGCGTGACGTCACGTACGCATCCCACGCGACGCGACTGAAGACTGAACTGGTGGACCATGCGTGGACAATGGGGCATTCTTTCGACTTTCCGGCCGCGACGACCTTGGCGAGAGAGGACAGATGGGGGCCCCGAAAGCTTCTAGAATCGTGGTTTCTTCGCAGGGACACATCCGTGTGCAACAAAAACCGCGGCCCTCTCCACGAAGCTTACACGAACATTCGTGATAAATAGCGTTGAGTTTAGGTTGAACCCTGCATTTGCTGTGTAACTACTGATGATGCCTCCCGCATGGGTGGCGAAACGTCTAATGAAGTTGTTTTTTCTGTTATGTCAAGTCGGCGTTCTTATTTTAATTATAACGTGACGTAGGGCAGCACTTCATCCCACGTCTTGTGTTCCACGTCCACGTACATAAAAATCATGTTGGCGATGGTCTTGTTTAGTCGCTCCGTCAGCCCGTTGGTCTGCGGGTGGTATGCTGTGGTCCGGCGGTGGTCGGTGTGGCTCAGGCGGAGTATCTCTTGTGTCAGTTGCGCCATGAACGAGGATCCTCGGTCCGTAATCAGGACTTGGGGAGCGCCGTGTCGGAGGACGATAGACTCCACGAAGAACTTGGCTACTTCCACGGCGGTCCCAGACGGGAGTGCTTTTGTCTCGGCGTACCTGGTGAGATAATCAGTTGCCACGATTATCCACCGGTTTCCCTGCGCTGACGGTGGGAAAGGTCCGAGAAGATCCATTCCAACCTGCTGGAATGGTGCAGTCGGGGGCTCGATCGGCTGCAGGAGACCTGCCGGCTTCGTCGGTGGTTTCTTACGTCGTTGGCATTCGTGGCTCGAACGGACGTAGAGGTGGTGTTGTGAAAACGGAAAAGCCCTGGACCAGACCATCCCTATCTAATCCGTCCGGCATCGGTGAACTCATTGAGTAGCATCGCCGCATGGCTCCGGTCGGCTTGCCCGGAGACGAGGCGAGAGGCGACAAGGGGGTGCCGTGGGACCACCGTGTTGGCGTCGCCCCACCTAGGCGCGGAGCTAAGCCGGACCCTTCTTTCTGGCTGCGTTAACGCTGGTCCGAAACGGGGTCAGCCGACTCAAGAACCGGGAGGATTACCGGGCCAGGGTTCCGGGTAACGACGCGCCAGCTGCGGGACCTCCGTGAGGGTGGGATTATCCCCGGACGCCACCTGCGGATGATCCGGCCAACCCCTTTCCCGTGCCTCAACGCCGTCTGATGGAGGGGTCAGCACTACCACGGCCAACGTCGTCACCCGGGCAAACACTGGACCCCTTGCTGTCGCCTCCTCGGCGCAGCTTTCGAGGGCAAGGGTGCCTCAACGCCGGAGTGTGAAGTCCGGCCACAGCTGCAGTGTGTGCATGTGGGTGTGTGCGTGCTCAGGGGATGAGTGGAGGCGGGGCCTGAACATGATTTGTTGGCAGCTTGGCCACCATTGGCTGCCAGCCGCGAGAGTACCGAAGAGCGACCCTATAAAAGGGGCAAACAGAATGTCGCATCTGTGCCCTCGGACGTTGTAAATACTTTGTACATATGTATTAAACAAAGTTTCGTTGCGAAAGACCCTCCCGTCTCGTCATGTTCCTGGACGGGAGTCTGCCCGCTGCTCCTTTCCTGGCCTGGCCCTGCGTGACGCTACCCGGAGAACCCCCTCGTTCCCAACAGTGGACAGTCTTCGGGAGCTTGGGCCAGTAGTATTTTTCTCGGATCCGTATGAGAGTCCTACTGTAGCCAAGGTGACCAGATATTGGGTCGTCGTGGCAGGCTTGGAAGATCTCTTCTCGAAGACTAGCAGGAATCACCAGCAGCCACGTCGAGTTGTTGTCCCCCGAAGTTCTCTT